ATTTCCATTTCTTTATTTTCTTTCAAGTAATTTTACAAAGTACTGACATCTAACTCAGTGAACTATCTACATTACAACTCCCCATTTGAACTTCTGATTTTCTTTTATTCAAAAAGAAAAAAAACCTGCCACAAGCGCAATTATTCAAACAAGATAGAATGATGTTTCCACCAGGAGCACATCGCCTCCGGGTGATGACTTGGATCCAATCCCAAGATACATGCTGTTTTACAAAAGAAGTAGAGGGTTTTGCTGAGGCAACACAGGTAACTTGCAATGGTGCATGATACAGCCCAGGGAAAGCTGGAAACATACTTTGGATCTTTAGCAAAACCTTCACAATGAACATTAAAAAAAGCCAGGCATGCTGCTGCTACCCCACCCTAGTTTTTGCAATGGTACTGAAAAGGTTTCAGGACACACTTGCTGATATTTACACAATAATAATGTGCAAAGTATTGCGTCAAAGACAAAGATTATAACCCTCTCTCACCTTTCCTGACACTCGCACTAATTACTTCTTATTTATCTGAATTGTTTTTTCCAGAATATAACTGATTGTCTTTTATAGCGTAACACAATCAGAGCCTTTCATGTGAAAACCATTAGGCTTCTGTATGCATGAATGACTGAATCCCCTCAGTCTATAAATACGTCTTCCTTTGCGTTTCTTAAGTACAGTGTTCCCTTTCAAGTTATTCTGTGGAAACTAAACTAGACAAATACGCTCCCCCACATTAGTACAAGAAAATTTTTTTCTTTGTTTCCAAGTTTACAGTATTTAAACAATACTTACATAAACAGGATGGAGATCCACTCCGTACATTTCCAGGGATTTGGCCACCCCCAAGTAGTAAATAAAATTTTCTGTAAGAACTTTGCACTTTTGGTGGACAGGTACGCAACCGCTCCTACCTTTTATTTTAGACTGCTTTGTTTAGACTTTCAGCACTGTACTTCTGCTTGCTCCAAGTGAGACCAGACAGTAGGCACAAACTTTTACTAAATTCTCTGCTGTAAGATCCTACCACAGATATATGCTGCCAGATATACAATGTATGCCTACTACAGTGGCTTATCTTTTCCCTGCTGTCACAAATGCACTTCGGACTTTGTATTTTTAGTCTTAAATATGCAAAGTAACTTTTTTCCAGTAACTACCTGATTATTAATAAAGCAGAAATGGAATGATTGACTGGAGTACTATTTCCCCATAGCACTGCTGAAGCTACAAAGGATTTCTGAAAGTAGCACTCATGACTTCAGATAAAATATTCCTTTCTTCATAAAACCTTGCCTACAGGAAGCCACACCAACTGGTAACACCCAAGACTGCTACTGTGAAAACAAAGTTTGGAGTCTGTCTCAAGAGATTACCAGTTTCACAGACCCAGCTTGCCTTCCTATCTGCAAATATCAATTCATCAGTTAAAAACTACCATCACCTGCATGCTGGTAGGAAACAATAGGGGAAAACTGGCGGGGGGGGAAAATTCTGTCTACTAGGAACATATTTGACATCACTGATGAAGGATTTATTTTCGAAAAGAACAAAATGATGAAATAAATTCAAAACCTTCAACAGACTTATCCTCAGAATTTAATTTGTTCTTCCTTCAATAACCGCCATTGATACAGGAGCAAGACACTCTGTTGCAAGCCTGAAGTAACCGAAGCTGCATTATCGTCTTCACTCCTTTTTAATACTTCTGTGAGAGCTACTGGACTGTTATTGGGAAAGTACAGCACATCTTGTGAAAACATAAACTCTAAAAGATGCATCCGCTGCTTCACCCTCTGATTGTTCTCTTGGGGAAATACTTCACTGCATTTGCTGCCTTTCAAATTCATGGTGTGAAGCACAGCTCAACATCTGGACTCAAGACCCGGCAAAGTCCTGCAATATGCATATTCTTGCTTCTTGTGTCCCTCTTCTCTCCAGCCCAGCAACTACTTTCCAGGTTTTCCCAACTTTCTGTTATGCCTGACGAGGTAAAATACAAATCCAACACGAAAGATGTGAGGTATTCAAAATGCCTTCTTTGTATCTGGGAGATGAGCTGTTTCAGGTGTTAGCCCTTCTTTCCAAGGACTCCTGGAAAAGCAGCAGACCTGAAGCTTGTTAAGGGAAATCCCTTTTTCAAGAGATGGATTACCCAGTAGATCTGTGATTCATCTGTGTAGTCAGAACATGCAGAACGTTGGCTATTCAGCACATCAGTGTTGTCACATCTGACATGTCTTTTATCAACTTCTGCTATAAAATATTACTCCACAGCTTGATTTTTTTAACATCTTGTTGGTAGCTCTCAGAAATGTATGCAAAATGTTCACTGGAGTACTATTGTCTTACTGAGTTCCCAGGCAGGCTAAATATCAGCCCTGAGCAAAGCAGATTAACTCACTACTGAATTAGTGATAGAATCCAGCACCCATTTATATACCGCTGTGTTTCCTTACTGATCATACTTAGAAAAACGTTCATGTGCTTATCCCACTATTCTCACCTGTCTCTGAAAGTACCAGAAGGCTCAAATGTCAAACAGGTGTGTACATATCAATATTTTCACAATAATATATAATTTATAAGAAAGCATATTTGCAAAAAATATTAAAGGAAGTAAAGATGTGAGCTGGAGCTCCTGAAGGACGCAGATGGAAGAAGAAGGAAGAAGTCATCCCAAATGTAGGAGAAGAAAGAACACGCAGGGGAGAGAGGAATGTCTGGGACTGAAACAATTCCCACCATTTCCTAGGGTAAGTGGTTCATTTTTACCCTGTATGAAAACACAAATTCTACTCAGCGTCATACCACCTGGCAATACACCCCAAAACTAAAACAGCCTTTGCAGTTGGTAATGACAGAGCAGGCAATGTACCAGCCGTGCAGACAATGTGCACCACTCAGTTAGATGGACACAGAGCACCTGAGTGCCACCGATGGCCCTAAACAATACTGAAAGCTACTCTCAAAGCTAAGGATCTGGGGCATTTTAGCTCTCCTTATGCCCCTCTGACATCATGCCATATCGATGCAAAATACACGAACAGGTGACTTGTCGGGGATCAGTTCGTCCCAGATCTGCTCCAGTCTGGAAGAGGCAATGTCAGAGGGCCAATACGGGGTCTCCCTTTCGCACTGAGGGATCATATCCCTCCCCCAGCATGGCAAGTGTCTTCTTCCTCACGTGCAAGCCCTGAAGCCACTGCTTCCTCCTCCAGATGGGGATGGCAACATAAGGTCACCTCACCCTGCTATCTGACCTTGGGATTGCCATGCTGGTTTATAGACGGGACAACGATAGCAACAGGCAGGCTCCAGAGACTTGATGCAGTCAGATACTCCCCCCACCTCTGACGTCCCCCACCTTACTTGATTTAGAAACTTGCTCAAAAAACTGCATTCTGAATGAAGCCCCGAATAGCTATTGTGCCATGTAAAAAAACAGAGAGAGAACTTGCAGCCAAAACCAGTTTATCTGGACGTAACTATCAGAAGCAAGGTACACACAGTGACACAGTGGTCTTGCAAAAAGAAAAAAACAACCATTCAGACAGGGTTCTTAAAAAAAAAAAAAAAAAAAAAAAAAAAAAAAAAAACCCCAACCAAAACACCAAAACCCGTGCTTCCATGCTGAGTTCCAGAAAGGATAAAGAAGTTCTTCTAAACCATATCACAAACCTGTCCCTAAAATGTCTCTGGAAGGTGAGATAATTTGGGACATGCCCTCAGCCATTCTAGCTTCCAACTTCTTAACTAAGGAGATCACTGTCAGCTGTGCAGAAGTCAGTGCTAGAAGCGGTAATGAAGAGGGTCAGGCTGAACTAGCTATGAGTACACCTCAGTCTCACTCTCTTTTCTGATGCTGCTAAATCCCTGACACCTAACTGCAGCCAACCAGCAAAAGAGTATCAGCACTCTAGGTCAGTATGCATATAAAAACACTACATACAGAGTTAAGACAGTTATCACTCCTCTTTGCAACCACTGTTCCCTGGCTTCTGAACTGCATCTTCCAGTTATAAACTTTCTGAGGCAAATGGGTCTTAATCTGATTTACTACACTAATGACGACAGAAACTTGAGAGAAGAATGAAGGTTACTTAGTATCAGTGGCCTGATGCATAGCAATTCATCTCAAGTTTCATTTCTCAAACATAACCTCTGTGATGTTGAACCAGGCAAAACTCTCTGTGCCTCCATTTCTGTCTCTAGAACAGAAAAAACAGTACTATTTACTACACCAAAGGACCTGCAGTAAGGTTCCCTGCAATGCATCAATTACTATGGAGCAGTCAGGCAACCACACAGAAATAATTATTGAACAACAGACCCTCTTCCCTGAAAGAGAAAGCTCAGGTCAATGTGGCAACTGGCACACACTCCAATTACAGAGCTTTTTAGAGAACAGCTGTGTCTCCAAGTTAATACCTATTCTCATTAGACAAGGCACAAATAACACTAATATGCAAAACTACAGGCAAGAAATTACAGAATCACAGTATGGTTAGGGTTGGAAGGGACCTCTGGAGATCATCTAGTCCAACCCCCCCGCCAGAGCAGGGTCACCTACAACAGGTTGCACAGGACAGCGTCCAGGCGGGTTTTGAATGTCTCCAGAGTGGGAGACTCCACCACCTCTCTGGGCAGCCTGTTCCAGTGCTCCACTACCCTCAAGGTAAAGAAGTTCCTTCTCATGTTAAGATGGAACTTCCTATGTTCAAGTTTATGCCCATTACCCCTCGGTCCTATCACTGGGCACCACTGAAAAAAGACTGTTCCCGTCCCCCTGGCACCTCCCTTTAAGTATTGATAAGATCCCCCCTCAGTCTTCTTTTCTCTAGACTGAAAAGCCCCAAGTGCCTCAGCCTTTCTTCATAAGAGAGATGCTCCTCATCATCTCTGTAGCCCTTTGCTGGGCCCTCTCCAGCAGTTCCCTGTCCTTCTTGACCCAGGGAGCCCAGAACCGGACACGACACTCCAGATGTGGCCTCACCAGGGCAGAGCAGAGGGGGAGGATGACCTCCCTCGACCTGCTGGCCACACTCTTCTTGATGCACCCCAGGATGCCATTCGCCTTCTTGGCCACCAGGGCACATTGCTGGCTCATGGTCATCCTGTTGTCCCCCAGGACTCCCAGGTCCCTTTCCACGGAGTTGC